CAACTAGTAACATCTTATATAGCTTTCACATAACAGAGAGAAGCCAATATTTACGCTAAAGCCTAAAAAAAATCATCTTGTCCATGAACAGTTTTTCATTGCCAAGCTTTTATAATATCTAATAACATATATCTAAACAATTTCATGACGTCATAGTATGAGGTTAGGTACCTTTCTATTTGGCAACTGGGACTGGGATCGGAGTTAAATGCCTCATACCTTTGCCGGTCGCTGACTAGCCTTGAAAGTGCTTATGCCGCTAAAATCAATCCCATATTCTTTAAACTGTTTTGAATATCTTGTACTGTTTTTAAAATTTGTGAAAATTTGAAACAAAGGACCTGTAAAATTGCAAAGTTAAGCAAATATCATTCGTGGATAAATTTACTTAGTGTAACACAGGTTTCTAGTTGAAATGTTTTTGCCAGGCAAGTCTATATTTTGCTAGTGTACAAACTTCTTTCCATTTCTTTTCATTCAGTTTACGATCCCCGTCTCTTGAGTGGCTGACAAAAAGTTAGGACAACTTTCGATAGCCTTTGCCAAAAACAACAGTGGATAGCAATGCAGGGCCGACGAAACGTATTTGGAAGTGGAGGGGCCAAAATATCAAAGTCTTGAAAGGGGTCAGGAAAGGCCGCCACCATGAATGGCGGTAAGAAATGTGTTAGAATTTATTATCCCAGGAAAGGCCAGAGAATGTATCTAAAATGGATTTTGACTTAAGGAAAATCCAAGGCAATATGTCTAAGCTTTGTTTAATCAATTCTCCTTACCCTAATCCTTACGTTGTCTGCATAGGAAGTCTCGTCTATTTTAATGTTGACTTGAAATAGGAAAGGTCTTGCAAAATTTTAAACAACCTTTATAACATAGCTCTTTATGACACTCTCTTTTAGATTTTAAAATTACCCAAAATATGGAGGAGAAAATAAATGAAACAAGGTTTGATATTAACATTGAAATATCAACAGAAGAACTATCAACTAAAAATAAACGATTAGCAAATTTGTACAGTTGGGATATCATTTTGTAACATGTGATGTTAAATTTTTCGGGAATAAAGTACTTTTGATAGAATTAACTCGGGGTTTGAAAAACTTTAAAACTGCGCTGGACAAAACGAGTTTTAATAGAATTCATAATTGCATCTAGATTTTCTCTTTCTTTATAGGAATGGATTATCGATAGAATTAAACTTTGATGATACTTAAAAGAACAAATCTGCCCGTTCTTTATTCTTCACGTCCTCATAACATTTTCTATCCAGCAGTTATTTGTAATGTTTCTGAGAAATTTTTCGTTAGCAAATAGACCTTGAGAGCCAAGTTTTGGCCTTTATTAAACGAAATTTCGTCAATTCGTGCTGGCACCAAGTTATTCTGGATCAGGTTTCGCGATCTATTTCCTAAGCTGTTA